TGATTTTATGTTGTTAGAAATCATTCTACTGAACCACGGATTGTATAGAGGAATTCTATCAATATTGTACCGACAAGAAATTGATTATGATAACTCCACCACACTCCAATGAATCTAATAAAAAATAAAAATTATATTTCTTTCTTTTTAGCTTTGTGATCCTATTGAAGTTGTACAGAGCTACTTGCAATGTGGATAAGTAAAGTAAGATTTGACAGTTGTTGACTACATTTTAATTATTTATCTTTATGTTTCATACCAAAGTATCGCATGTACAACAGTCCCTAGTACTTCTAGTTAGCATGTAAAAATATTTTATCCTACAATTGGTTCCATACTATTAATTCATGATTAACAACATGGAGGTTATGACCTACCCCCTGCATAAAATATTAAAGATAATTCATTAATTAAGAAAGTAACAAAACCATTATCAAAAAATCATGGTTTAACAAACATAGAATTAAAAATAGGAAAATTATCTAATATGAAAAAACGACACTAAACCTTTAACATATACAAATTCTTTTATGTCGCAATAAGTCACAAATGCATTTAAACTAATTAGTTACGATTTCAACACACCTACTTAGGAGCTGGAATGGAAATGGTTAAATGCCCCAGTGAACCTTGTTTCATTTTCAGTTGAAACAACCCGAGCTTATCTTCTTATAAATCAGCTAAACATACGATTTTGGCTAGTGTTTAAGCCTAAACATAATTTATTATCATCATTTAGTTTTATAATATAAGTAATATAAAATACTATTAAGCCCCTTGCGAGAAATTTGCACGGAATATTCTTATGTGATCAAATGCCAAATTAATAATAAAATAAAATTATGTAATGTATCATAAGATAAACAAATCAATTGTTAGTCTTTCAATAAATGTAATTGTCAAAGAAAACAAAAATTAATTTAAAACCAACATGTTTATAAATTTCAAGAAGCTGTATTTTTGCTAAAAATTGTCCAATTTCGATGATATATTATTCTTTTTCTGGAGAATTTAGTAATCGTTTATATTATTATGGACATAACCGGAAAAGTTTGTATTTTTTGTAAATAAAATCTCTTTTCTTTCATAACTTGTTGCCCTAAATTTTCAGGGTGATTGGACTATTTTGCCCGCCTAGAGGAGAAGGAAGCCTTCGAAATAGGTGGCTCAATCTTGGGATGTGGAGAAGAATTAACGATGATATGGTTTGCCGATCAAAAACAACAAAGATAAATAATATAAACTCCTCCTCTCTCGATCATAGAAGCCCCAAGTCGACGAAATGAGCCATGTATTCAATGACAGTAGTACACTTAACGGAAAGTTGTGTGGATGCGAACCCTATGCCTTGCGTTAGTATGTTTTTGGGCTTAAAAACGCAGGGCCCGATAATTCCGAAGGCTGTACGCTTCAGAATCTTCGATGTCCAATTTTTCCCGTATCGATATACAGACTTACCACCTTTCCAGTATTGAAGCCTAGCAAAATGTTTGTAACGACTTTATTTATTTTAGAAAGAAAAACAAACGTGGAGATTACGATTCCCTAACCCCCCTGAAATTCTGAATCCAATGGTATCCTATTCATGGTATTTGACCATGATAGGAGCTTATATTTGGTACAAAACCGCTTTCGAGCCTTACTGTAATAATATATATGGGGATGTGGGAATGAATAGTAGGCAAAAGACCACGTTGAGGGCCAAAAATCAGATGGATTGATCGAATCCATCGAATCGAATCGAACAAAGATGCAACGGAGCTGTATGCAATCAACTATGGGGTTCAACTGGGAGGAAAAAGCCCAAGATAGGCAGAGATGGAGTAGCTTGCTAATGCCTACACACAAAAAAAAAAAAAAAAATAGTAGTATGAACATATAACCTAATTAAATTTCTAATAAATAATCATTAATTTGTAATTGATGTTTGAAACTAAATTATTATTTGCTACTTTGTACATTTAAAAAAAATAATACCACTTCGGAATTTTATTTATAGGGCATTTTGCAGTGAAGTGTGGCCCCAATTTTTAATTGAAGGTTATGAAGTCTGAGTCATTAATACTTCAACCTAGAAAGGTTGAGATAAATATTTGAGGGTACTGTTGTAATCATAGTATTGAGAGAGAAAAAATATAAAGCCGTATTTACAATAAATCATTTAACTGTGCTTGTTAAAATTATTATAACAATATCAATAAATAATTTGTTTTAAAATGTTTTTTCCCATTATTTTTTTTTTTAGTCGAAAACTTCTTTAGTCGAGTTTCGCACTTTTTTGTGGAGAGTGAATTAGATTGATTTTTGCATATGGATTACAATATCTCAAAAACTAGAAATTGGACCTTCACATTGTTAGCGAGCAAAATGTTCATAATTTCATCTTCTTTGTAATGTGCTATACTTATCAAGAATTATTAAGTATTGCATATTATGCATACGTCTGCGCTTATATAGAAGAAAATTTAAGTTCATAACAGCATTAATACAGATTTTTAAAGTGAAAATTTCTCTATGAGCGTTTTGGACTTTTTTTGTCGAGAGTGAATTAGATTGAGCCGTCACATCTCGGATGTGTAACGCTCGGGTAAAGTCGGTTGGATTCGACTAATTGAAATGTTTTTGCATATGGATTAAAATATCTCAAACAGTAAAATTCGGACCTGTATACTGTAAGCGAGGGAATCGTTCAGCATTTTATCCTCTCTGTAATGAACTATTATTTATAATTTATGTTTCATATTATTGATCTCGCTCTGTTGATGTTTTGAATTCTATCGTGTGGTCTTAAGCAGAAACCTTAGATTTTTTAATTGAAATATTTTTATGGGTAGCGACAGCAAATAAGAAAATAAATATTCTCTGTAGAAGAAGCTGCTTTAATAACATAATGCAAGAATATTTAATTTTATGGTATAGAAGATTACATTGTACTTACCACGTTATACAGGATATAATAATACCAATAAAATATTTATTTAGTTATAAATAATTTTTTTCATGTTTGGTATCATCATAGGTAGGACTTAATATACTTCAGCCTTTTTATTTTTATGTTACTTCCATTAAACCAACACTAAAAAATTGCAGATATAAACAAATTATGAATTCACCCAATTGATGTCATGAAAAATATTGCTCTTCATATAATACGCAGTTTCGTCAAAAATATGAAATGAGAAATATTTAATTCAAATCTATTAAAGTTTTAACACATTCAGCAAATAAATGAAACAGCCAGTGTTTAATGTCAAAAAGAATGGAATCTAGAAATTAATTTTAACTTGCAAATTAGAAATAGCCGGAGGAACAGCAAAGACTGGCAATTATTTGATATTTGACGGGCTACCGGTTGCGAAGCTTTTAGCGTGATGAATCGGAAACTGTTAAAACCAGTAGACTGTATGCTAATTAACGTGGCTAAATTATAATTGCCACGATTTTCAAATGGAATCCGGACTCTAGTGGTTTAGTTTCATTTCGGTGATAAATACTTAAAACTGATTTTGATTTTTAACTGTGTATTGCATTGAATTTAAGACACATTTTTTACTTGAAAATTAAATTTTTAAAAATGTGTCATAAAATTTAAAATATAAATGAAACAATTTTAGCAGGAAAAAATTGTACTTTAATACCTATTACCATTTCGTGAATTAAATTAAAAATATGGATTTATATATTTTAGCTTTTCTTTTAATGTAGATTTAATACAGTAATATTATAGATTATACAGTGCAAAATAATTATAAATGGCATAAATATATCAGTATTACTGAAGTATGAAAGTATTACTGATAAATTATTAGATCATAAGCTGTTTATTTGTTGAATTCAATATTTAAATTAAGGTAGTAAATATTTTCATCTTACTGTCATAGTTCTAAGGTATCAATAAACATTAAGATTGTTTATTCATTCCACAACAAAAAAATGAATTAACTTAATTTTATAAAACGTTTTTTCTTTTTTGTTTCAATAGGACATTTTATTTTATTTTACTTTCGCTTTAATAAATTTTTTTTTTTTTAAAGATTTGTTGATTTAAATTTAATTAAATCAATTTTTTTTTAATCACAGATTTTATTTATAGTAAATAAAAATCAAAAATATTTTCAATTAAAATTTTCAAATTATTTAGTTCATTTGTTTTTTTATTGACAGCAAATGAAAAATTGAAGGTTTAAACACAATGGGATATTCCAAGCAGCATTTGAATTGTGTTTTGGAAAAAGATAGTATAATAGTTGCTGTAATGTCCATTCATAATAACTTTTCCAGTTCATTATATATAAAGAAAATCAGAAGCACTTGAGAAATTTCGCTATTTAAGCCGGGCCAGAATCCTTCAAGGATATAGCTGATATTAAAGATTGTGTAATTTTGTATAGATAACACGGGTTGATCTCAATCGTTAATCAATTTTCGAGAAAATTGTGAAAATGTGTAACATTAATTAAAATTAGGATCACTTAAGGTGAGAAAATTTCAGGTTAACGTATATACCAGTTATACCGTGTACGATCCCTAATTTAAATAGGTTTTTTTTTTTTTCATTTTCGTACACTTATTGGTTTTGGGATAGTCTGTTTAAATAAAACAAAAAATTGAGTTTGTTGAAAATTCAGATTTAAAATTGTCACGATCATAATACATTTCATAATGATATATTTCATATAGGTAATTGAAAATAAAAGTTAGAGTGTATAATTCTAATAGTGAAAAATGAACGTCAATATGTGTAAAAAAAATCTTTATATTTTAGAAAAGAGTCGCGTCGGCATAAGGGATTGGTGACACTTCCTTAACCTATAAAAAGTTAGCATTTTAACGTATTCACAGGGGAAGCCAGAAATTAAAACTAAAAAGGTTCACACAGTCGGTGCGTGTAGCTCAGAGAATATTTTATTAATGTAGTTTGGGCTGCCCTATCAAACATGACAAAGTGAAAATTCCCACAAGGCCGACTACTTAATTGGCGTCTAAGATGGGTAAGATACGCATGCAAAATGTAAATACTGCGGAGTAAGGAGAATGCTAAGGACTTCTTCATCCGGAAGGAGGAAGGCTCTAAGGACAAGGAAGAGACTCGAATGGTGAATCGAAAGGTGAAGTAATCGAGTCAAGTCCTTGTAGTGTGTCGCCGGGGGAGTTGTCATCTTCACCAAGGATATATGTTTTTGCTGGCTTGTACGTAGCACTGGAGTCATGTTTGGGGATGTCTGTCGCTAATTGGGGAGCTGCCAAGACTCAGGCGTGCCGTCATGTTATAATGTACGCTAGGAGGTTGTGGTAAACGTAACAAGATATAACTCTAGTGAAAGGAAAATTAAAGGGTATATATATATGAGTTACAAAAAGTATCTCAGCTCATTTCGAATTTCCAGCAAAATAAGCTATGAAAAATAAGTTTAAAAAAATTACTGAGCTATAAAACTTTAGTCATCGGTAATGATGAAATAATTAATCGAAATTAAAAAGCTAGGGTAATGTTAAGGACAAAAAAGCCTAAGATTTTTATATCTTATTAATGGCCGTTCCTTCAAGCTCTGTTACAATTATGATTATGTTTCATCATAATTATGTAGGATAACTTTTAATAAACTGATACCCCTTACCTGATTTCAAATTAGGCTTTGAACTCTAATTTAATATAATTATAAATTTATTATAATTTAAACAAGGGAATGAAATAACATTTCAACTTTTATTTTTTTTTTTTAGCCTATTTCGGAGATTTTAATCATAATTTTGGTCTTATTTTTTAATTTATTTTAAATTATTTCGAATTAGAAATTTTTCTTGAATACTTAATGATGGACCGTTGTATATTTTAGAGGAAGGATAAGGTCCGAGTCGGCGGCCATAAAAAGGCTAAAATCGTGAAAAAAACTTTTATTTCAAGCCAACGTTTCGACTCGACTTTTCAGATCTAGAACGAACATGCTACAAAGGGCTATTGAAAAATGTTGAAGATACGTAATCTTTGGATTCTAGAAATTATCTCTGGATAAAAACTACCAATAAATAAAATAGTTTTTCACTATTTTAGTATTTTTATGACCGCCACCATCTCCAGAAGTTTTTCTGTTTTCAAGTAAAGGTTATATAGAAATTTAAAAAAATATATAAATAAAAAAAAATAAATAAAAAATAATAAAACGGATACAGTCCGTGGTACGGATCGGTTTTATAAAATTATTAACATCCGCCTCAATCTTCGTGAATAGATTATTCTTATCGTCACCTACAAAATTTTTATTCACGAAAATTCTCAGAAATAGAGCATTGTTCCATTAAAGTAATTAATTTACTCAGGTACTTAAAAATCATAAATTCCCATTTGCTTTCCGCTTGAATCGTAAGACTTGATCAGAAATTCGCAAATAAACGTAGCCTACCAAAATCTATCGGGCCGTCTTACCTGTTATTTTGACATGTTTGTCAAGTCGAGGTCACGCCAAACGGACCAATATTTTTGCAGGCCACTTTTTTTTTTCGTGATGAAATAATCTTACGATTCAAATTTAAAGCAAATGTGTGTTCATGAATTTTCAGTATCTAATTTAATACACGTAATCTGGGGATCTCCAGATTTAAAACTCTCCAATGATGAGAATCTTCGTTAATAAAAATGTAGTAGGTTACGATGAGATGAAGCTATTCAGGAAGTTTTATAAAAAGGGATCATTACCACGAATTAATAATAAAATGGGTAGGAAATAAATCTGCAAAAAAAAAAAAAAAAAAAAAAAAAAAAAAAAAAAAAAAAAAAAAAAAAAAAAAAAAAAAAAAAAAAAAAAACAGGAGCGAAAATCTTCGTACTCATTTAGATATATGTTGATACATATTAGAAGCTATGGATATGTTTAGATACAGAAGTTTCTATCATAGTAAGGTGGTTGATTTATACTTGAACTATAATATCAGATTTTCCATTAGATCATTTTCTAATTGTCTGCAAACTATTGAAAGGCGTAAATTAATATATGATGACAGAACGTCGACATGGATTTTAGTTTGAGTAAACTGAAAGATGGTAGACATTGGGTCGTTTGATTAATTTTATATCTTCTAGAGTGATCATATATCATAACAAAGTATGATTTGCTGAATATATTAAATGCCTTCAGGTCATGTATTTTTGTATAAACAAATAATTGTTAGAAACATTCCCAACTCGTTTTAATTAAATTGGGATATTAAATTTCTAAACATTCCTTTAACGACGGGACGAGATGATTTATTAAAAGCGTGTTGTGGCTTGTTGAACATGATTTCTCTCATGTATGTTATACAATGAGACTAAAATGTATGTTATTTCTCCGCTAGTTAGCGGCTACATTCCTAGGAGATGTGAGATAATTGATAAAATGAAATATGTTATTCCATTAACATAAACATTTTTAAAGGTATTGCTAACGATTTCAAATCATGCACAGGAAAGATAATGAACGATAAGTAGATAATAGATGTTTAAAAAATATTTGTTTATAAGATTTTTGTGTGTGATTATTGTAATGAGCTGATAGCAGACATTTTTTTCCTAACTTTCTTAATTTAAATGATAATAGCTAACACTCTGAATAAATTAATGGCATAGATTTCTGAATATTAATGATAGGGTTAGAAATTCATTTAGCTAAATAAAAACTTGAAAAAAAACGAATTTATAAAAATAGTGAAACAAAATTAAATCACGTCCCTTATAGATGGCAATATCAGATGGATGGAAGTATATCAGATAAATAAATGTCTCCAATATTACAATTAAGAACTATAATATTAAATTGGGAATATCATATAAAACGATGAACAAATGTAAAATAATACTAGAGAATAATATTAACAAATAAGCCACACGATCAATATGAAAGAAATAAGATTCATCTCAACCTGACAACGTACAGATATATTATTACGAGATTCCAAATACTATGTTATCCCTATAATCGAATCAATATGTAGAATAGAATAAAATAACTATATTCTCGAACAAATTTGTTCAGAAAAATAAAGAATTATTCTGCCTAATAGATCTATTACATTAAAAGAGTATGAAGTTAAGTAACTGCGTATGTATGGACAAAAATGTTTAGAATATATATACGGAACAAATGAAGAATGGTGAAACAATTTTTTTTTTTTTTGCTAAGAAAAGAAAGGAAGCGAAAAAATTAAATTCCTCTAATAGATAAGCGAAATCAATCAATTTATGCAAATCAGTCAGCAAAATATGACGACCCATATTGTATACAAGAATGTTGGTGTACAGAAGAGTATTGAATGATCACTAAAATTTTTGATGTGGAAAGATTTATAAGGAGCTATACATTTTTGAGGGAGGCGTATTTTGATGGAGGTTTTGTGGGGCACCATATTTTTGTGAGATTTCAATATGGAAAAAATCCCTCTCCAGAAAAAAGTGGGAAAACATGGAAAAGAACCTTCAAGTGCAATTGTATATGAATTTTATTTTTCTAATTCAACTTTTGGGTGCAGTTATATCATTCAACATCGATCTTAGGGCGATCGGCACTCCTGTACAGGAACATTGATCGAATATAGATTGCATGTACATGGATATGCTTTATAATATGAACATATCTCAAATGAAGGACATGGAGATTTGTAAATTTCATATTATTATGGGTCTGGGGTGGTCGATTGGGACAATAATAATAAGAAATTAATATTCACACTTAAGTGTATGCCTTAAGGTCAGTTTGCTGTCATAAGCACAAATGCATACACTGATCATATATCATAACAAAGTATGATTTGCTGAATATATTAAATGCCTTGGTATACACTTAGGTTATTAAGGTATACACTTAGGAGCGAATAGAAATTAAAAAATGAAGGACAAAATTTAAGAAGTGGAAAAAAAATAAATAGATGAACAACCATAAAAGGGCAATGATTATTGTAGTATATCTAGCGAATAACAGAACTCCCATTGTATGTAAAGTGACATGAAATATATGTTGTTAGTCTTAATACCTGAGATATATTCAAGCCTTAGTACGTAAAAAACGAGAATAAATATACAGAATACAAAAAAATTTATTGGTTTAATATAAATCGTAGTCTGGTCCATTTAGTGTTAGTAGGGATTAGTTTTATAAGTAGAAGAAAATAAGTAAATAAGTACAGTATAAGAAGACAAAAACAAAAATATTTTTTATAACAAACATCATAAATATTTTTATCCTCCAAATATTTTTACTATTTATATATAAATATATTTATATAATAAATATCGTAAATGATATATTATAAATGAATAAAAATACATATATACTAAAGAAAATTTACTATGCAGAACACAACAAAGCAAAACAAATAGTAGAGATCTTAGGATTACAAGACACATGTAGAATCGTACAATAAATAATAACAATAATATTTAAAAGGCACCCCAATTGTCAATAAATACACGTACGGCCACGGAGATATGAACACATGCCTGACTGACCTAAAGCTGAGGGTTTTTTACTTGTATTGATAGAGTCACAAACACTTAAAATAAAATATTTTGTTCAACTGGTCAAGATTTTATATATCCAACACATATAAAATGATAAATCATCTGTGGCAGCCTGTGTATGTAAGTATTTCCTTCCATGTGTCTCCAGAAACAAACACTCCAGCATCAAGTGCTTTAAACCGTTATTGATAAGTTGGCCGCAGCACTTGCAGACATCGTTTGTATTTATAACGTATGTAATGTTCCCATGTAGCAATTTCATATAGTCACTACACGAGGCTTTTAAACGACTTACCGTCCATATCTTTCTTCGAGGTATCATAAATTTTAAATAATTTTCGGGTTCTGAGCAATTGTAACCACAAATACGTTGATACATAGGGCTGTAATTTGAATTGTAGCCACGTTCAATGTCTCTGGAGTATAAATTGTTGGATACAGTTGTTAGAATAGCAATAAATATGCATTCAAATGTAACTTTTAATGACGTAATTTTAATAAATTATGTATTCGTAATATAGACTTAATTATGTGACCGATATTTCATTACCACCCGTTGGTAGTGAAGGCTAAGCTAATAGATTTAACACTGGTTTTATCATATATCAATGGTTATAGAATAAATTTTTGATCTTATATGGTGACCTGGTGGACCTTAATTAATTGTTT